TGTGTGTGTGTGTGTGTGTGTGTGTGTGTGTGTGTGTGTGTGTGTGTGTGTGTGTGTGTGTGTGCCAGCCAGAATTATACGCCATACATATGTATAACAACAAAGTGCAAAACCTCTGAGCGCCCGCCCACCTCCATTCTGTAGGCGTCCGTCTTGATGTACTCTGACAGGATGCGCGCCTCCGTGAACTGGGGGTAGCCATAGTCCATGACCTGTGGTGGGGGGCCCGCAGAAGACAAACGGGCAGTATTGCAGGGCGCTGTCAGGTCGGCAGGCAGGTGTTGATCCCGGAGAGGTCATGCCGGGGGTTACTCGCAGCAGCAGCAGCAGCAGCAGCAGCAGCAGCAGCAGCAGGGCCCCAATGGCTCGCAGGTGCTCCAGGTCACCGTCGCAACGACGCAACACCCTCGATAACGACTACCAGATCAGGCCAGATCAGATCAGATCACCTCGTCCAGCAGCTCGTAGACCACCACGAAGTTGTCGCGGATGGACTCCTCCTCCAGCTCCTCAAAATAGTGCTTGAACACGTCCACCAGCCGGTGCAGGAACACCTGAACAGAACAGACGTAAGAGAAGCGCAGGGAGCAGCCAGGAGCAAAAGCGCAAACTCAACGAGGGGCCCGCACGCTCGAGGCCGCCTGCCGCTTGCAAAGCGCCCTGCTGGACACCGTGCATTGCGCCGGGCCCCAGCGTGCTGCATATGGAAGCGCGACGCCTCCCCTCGGCGGTCAAACGCTTGCGTCCCCGCAGCCCCCGCGCGCTTGGGCCTGCCGTGGCGCGGAGCTGGGCTGCTGGGGGTTTGATGCTGCGGGGAGCGGGCGCCGCACCACTATGCTGGCCGCGTTGACATTGTCGCGGGTGACAGCCAGGAGGTACACGTTCACGTGCAGCAGGTATATGTAGCTGCGGTGGCGGCGGCGGTGTGTGTGTATGTGTGTGTGTGTGTGTGTGTGTGTGTGTGTGTTGGGGGGGCGCGTGTGCACCAGGGGGATCAGCTGGGAAGGCGGAGACATGTTAATGGCTTTGGAGTGACCTCAGCGGAGGTTGACGGCGTTTTTTTGGGGGGGAAGGGAGGATTGAGAGGGCGGGGGCAGAGCGCGCAAAATTCGACAGCAGCCGCCGTTTCGCATGCGTGGTGCCGGCGACCCGGCCGCCAGCGTGACAGCCCTGCGTGTGGCGTTGCCACGGTGACGCCTGCACCGCGCCGCGCGCAAAGGGTGCCGATCCTCCCTTCTGTGCGCAGGGGGCACTGCCAGTGCCCCGACGTTGTCAGCCGCCAGAGTGCACGCAGTCCGCCCCTGCTCTGCTGCCACCCCACGTTTGCAAGCGCTGCTCATCGCCACTCTGCAGACAGCTGCGGTGCGGCCGCTCAATCAAGGCTAGTGTTCTGCCACCCATGCTGCGCGCTGGAGTCAAACGCAGGCCGAGCGACTGCACCCATCACAAAGAAGCTGCCTGGCAGCTGCTCACGTGACGCCGTCATCGTGGATGATGGGGCTCAGCTTCCCGGCGTCTTCCAGCTCGTTGATCTTCATTATGAACTTCTCAGCGTGCTTGGTGGACACCTCACCGCGGTAGTCGCGGTATATGAGCGGCCGCCCCTTCACATCCAGCAGGAACAGCGCCGAGACGCTCATGGCTGCTGCTGCTGCTGCTGCTGCTGCTGCCGCTGCTGGTGGGCGCCTAGGGGTGCCGCCGCCGTGCGCTTGCTGCCGGTGCTGCGAGGGACCCCACCGCCGCCACGCAGGCGCTGCCGCTAGCACTGAGTGTTAGAGGGTGGCACGCTGCCGCCCAGAAACAGCCTGCGGCGGCGGAAGAGGGCGTCATGCAGGAGTACGGCACAGCAACGGAGTGCTTTGCCACGACTTGCTGCAAGCTTCCACTTCGAGTGACCAGGGGCGCACCTGGTAATGCGTATGCTTGCCCTCTAAACTCACACACGGCGATGTACCCCTTCAGCGCCGCATCGGCTGCATGCCAACACCGCGCCAACTGCGCGCGGACGCTGCTTGTGCTGCTGTGGAGCCGCTGCCCCCCGCTCGTCTTTGCAGCAGCAGCACTGATGGATCAGCACTGGACGCCTCCAACCATCTAGTCCTGCTAAATCGCAGTCTCACAACACAGCAGGATGCGTCGTTCGGGGTGGTTGCTGGTTCGGTCTGGAAGTGCGATCTACAAGAAAAAGTGTTGCCAAACAACACCAAATGCAGCGCATATATTACTGTTTTCAGCTCGACCTACTGTCTTTGATAGCTTTCACGCAGTAGGCAAGCCGAGATCGCTGGTGACAGAGCTCTTCTTTGTAGGATAGATCACCGGTGAATATGTATACCTGCACCGACCACCTTCGCCAAGGTCATGCAGAGCTGGCCCATCGCCACACATAAGGAGTTCGTGCTGTGTCATGTTGACCAGCGCTCGCTGCACCTCCTCCCTCGCATGTCGTGTGGCCACGGGAACGCACAAAACCAAATCCTACAGCTTTTGTGATCCGCATCATGAGATCCCCGTTTGAGTAATGTAGACAGCTACATGTGGAGCAAAGGTGGCACGGTCCGTAGCCACACACAGGCTGGGGTGCATGTTGGTGACAGTACCCCGGCAGCCAATTTTTTGTGGCCAATCCTCATTTCCTGCGTCTTGGGCAGATCTCAGCACTTGTCAGGCATAGTGCACAATGCTCTAGTGAAAACGATGCCCGGCTAAACCAAGTTGGCCATTTGAAGCGCTGTGTTGTGAGCTTGGCCAAAATTCAGTCTTGGGCGAAATCAAGTCCCCAGTGCCATGCTGGCCGTGGACCTTGCAGATGGCATTGTACTTTTTTGAACAGTATCTACAAGCAACACAAGTATCAAGTCAATTTAATTGTGTGATTACACTCACGGTGTACAGATGGTCAATGCTACAGGCGTCAGATGTTGCCTGCATGACAGCTGGCAGGCCCGCAGCGCTGGATTGCAGCGCCACCCAAATGCGAAAGTGCGCACGGCTGTGCGGGGCTGCAGAGTAGGGGAATGCCACGACAACACCAAAACGGCCGTGCGCGGCGCGGTGGCGCATACGCACTGCTGGACTGATTTCCACCCCTCCAAATCGACAGGGCATCGTGCATGGGGGTTTGCAGACGCATCCGTCAGCGGACGCCAAAGCGCAACCTCACTGCGGATGTAGCCCACGTAAAATCGACGCTGCTTGTGGTAGGCCGTGCAAAGCCCGGGTTTGCAGTCCCTGTTCAGCAGACACTGATGAAATGAGCTGGGGCTCAGGGGCCCTTTTCAAGTCAAGAAACCCAGCATGTGCCCGCGCTGGCGCCCTGTGTGCAGCCATTGAAGTCACGAGGGCACTTCAGTCCAGGACCAAGGCGCAGTGATGGAGGGGGCGGCCAAGCGCCGACCACAGTCGTGCCGCGCATCGAGAAAGAATGCAGGGTTCGCGGCCCCCAGCGGCGGACGTCATGCCAGAATGAGTCGATGTAGCCCGATTGAAGAAGTATCAAGCTGTTTTGAGGATAATTTGCGAGCTAGACCACGCCTCTCGTCTCCTCAGTTGAGCTGGCTGCTGCATTTGGGCAGACAACAAATGCCACGTCCGGCGTGCGCAGACACGGGACGCATCAGGTCACTGCTAGCTGCGCGAGAGACGCGCAATCGCTCTGTGTGAATCACTTCGACACAAATACGGCGCCGTGGGGGCGCGCGAAGCGGCCACGCGCGGCACTGATGCCGCAGGTGGCCTTCTCAAAGGCGTCGTTGAAGTTGACGGTCTTGATGGGGGCGAAGGAGTTCTTGTCGGCCGCGATGGAGAACAGCAGCAGCTGCACGGGCAGCCAGATGGGCGGGGCGAGGGAGGGCGTGTCAGCACAGGCCGGGCGGGAGAGCGCCAGGACTGCTAGGGGCGCCGTTGGCACGACCGGTCGAGCAGACTCGCTGCGGAGCGGGAGAGAAAGGGAGCATGCTTGATCCAGCAGCCCGTAGCAGAGACAAGGGGAGACGGGGGAGGCACAAATGCACCGGTGGCGCGGGTGCCGCACCTCCTTGCTGGCCTGCTTGGTCCACAGCCCCTTCTGCAGGTAGTGAGGTCGGCGCAGGATTTGGAGGGTTATGGATCAGCACAAGGCTTGGTTCCAAACAAGAGGCTGCCAAGTAGGGCAACTCCTGGCCAGACTCGGCCAGCTGCCAGCACCGCCCCCGCCTTTGGGGCCCCATGTTTGCCAGCTGGCTGGACAGCTACTTCTGCCAAGGCACACATGTCCTTGAGCGCACTGTAAGTTCAAGAGGACCGCGGCCGAGGGGCGCCGCACCCGGATCCGGTGGCTGTACAAACAACGGTTGAGCCAAGAGCACGCGCGCACACAACACACACACACACACACGCACGCAAACACACACAATTCGAGCCTCCCTCCCCTCCCATGCAACGCACCCCGGTGGGCTGCTCCACGTAGTATGTGGTGACTGCTGCCAGCGTGGCGTTGGCGTCAATCACGACCACATGGGGCTGGGGGGTGCCGCTGGCCCCCTTGGGCAGCTCGTAGATCTGCAAGGGCGCAGAGGCGTTTGTGCGAGTGTCGTTGATGCGATGGATGCGCATTGGGATGGGATCCAGCAGCTGATTGCGTAGAGGGATTGGAAACGAAGTTAGAGCAGGGAAGGAGAGAAAGAGGCTGGAGGATGGGACCTACAGGGGGCCGAGAGGCATGCCTAGCGATCCGCCAAGTGGAAGATGCACAGGGTCAGCTCTCAATCTCACCCGAGCCTGCGGCCTCGAGTCACTCCGCAATCAACCCGTGCCTGACCCGTTTCCTTGCCCGAGTGGCGCTGCCCTGGCCCACCTGGATGGTCTTGATGCTGGTGGGGTCGGTGGTGTCCACCAGGCGGACCTCGTTCAGGGCCAGTGACGTCACCAGCAGGCGCGTGTTGTTGGCGAAGCGTCCGCTGCGGGTCACAGGAGAAGTTTGGGGGGCTGTGGGTCCCACGGACAAGTTCTTCAAGCCAGGGAGCAGCATGGGTGGTTCTGGGCGGCAGCTTTGTTTGCAGCCTCAGGAAACCCCAGCCCACTCCCCACTGCGCGTCCACCAGAGGCGTCGACCAGGCTCTTTTGCGGCTTCGGACTCCGGCTGAGGGCGGCCATGCAGCGGATCGTCCCCCAAAAGTGTGAGGGTTCCCACCTGAACACGCAGGAGCCGTACACGGGCTCGGGCGCGAGCGTGTACACCTCCTTGATGGCCGACTCGATGCCGTCCGCGGCGCGCTTCGAGGCGTCGATCTGACAAGAGAGGGGAACGTCATGTCAAGAGTCGTGCGAGGCGATTTGGCAGGACGTGACAGCAAGGAATGAGAGACGGATGGGTGAGCGATACGGCGCGATGATGCAGTGCGCACAACCATTGTGGCCAGGAGGGCAGCTGGAACACAAAATTCAAGTGTGGAGAGAGCACACGCGCGTGCGTGCTGCATCCGTCGAGGCCACCCACCAGGTACAGGTGGCCGGTGCCCGAAGAAAACCAGAAGGTGTCGTTCTTCCCTGAGAATTTCACGAGGAGAGATTGTGCCAAGCGTCAAGTCAGGCTGACGTCATGAAGATCGCCCGCCGCGCAGCGGCCCCAGCCAATTTGTGATATCCCCACAACCCCGCGACTCACAGCCAAGGTAGCTGCCGCAGCCGCCTGTGGTGCGCAGGACCTTACAGCCAAGGTCGCTGCCGCAGCCGCCTGTGGCTCGCACGACACGCAGAAAAAAGCAGGCAAGGGCCGCCGCGGCAATTCCGTAGCCTCACCCGTCCAGCGGACGCTCATGAGGCCCTGGGGCGTCTCCTTGATGCCGGGCAGGGTGGCCAGGTCCCACCTGGCAATTACCTGCTTGGTGGTCAGGTTCCACACGCGCACGGTCGTGCCCCACCTGCACACGCGCATTAAAGCGATGTGTGGGCCGTGTAAGAAACGAGCATTGCGTGTGATATCATCCTCACCATTTGGGGCACTGCTGCGCGCTGCCCTCGAGCTCGGAGGCCCGCGTGCTCAGGACCAGGTGCATTCAAGCCAGGCAGCCAGCACGGATCATCTCAACAGTGCCCCAGCAGAGGTTAATGCAAGCCTAGGCCCCAGTCTGACCATTCCCACGCTCACTTGAACGCCTTGCTAGGGGCAAAGACAGTGTCGGCGGTCACGTAATCAGCGGTGACAATGAGGCTGCCGTTGGGGCCGTTGCGGTCCTGTTGAGGCGGGCAGTTGCAGGGCGTATTATGAGCTTGACAGCATGGGTGCACAGCTCCTGCTGCCATGCCCAGGCCTCCGAATTCCTGCTCCCGCCTGCAGAAACCGGCACCATTCCGCGATAGCCTCGTCAGGACATCCCCTGGCTTCTCCCCGCCCCCCTGGGCTCACATCCCGCCAATTCAGCCATGCAGATTGCCCTCGCCCCCCTCCCGCAGCGCGAAAGAACCAAAAATGCCGAAGCTGGCATTGATCAATCCATTGCTTGTGTCATCACTATGTCGATCTAATCGATTGTTTCCGCTCCAGCCACTCACGAATCCGTGGGGTGTGAACGAGGGGTCCGCGGCGCCATCGACGCCGCCCTCGTGCTCCGCCACCACCTCCCACTTGTCCCTCTCGTTCACGTACGCAACCTCGGCCAGCTTGCCCGGCGACAGGCCCTTGCGGTCCCCCATGAAGGACGCGAGGAACTTGGGCTGGCCGTTCTCGGTGCCGAAGGGCAGGAAGGAGTCGGTGACGGCGCCCTTCTTGCCAAAGACGCTGTCGATGTACCTGGGGTTTGCCAAGTCCGAGGTTGACGGTGGGCTGAGCGCGAGCAAGGACACGTCAGCGCACGGCGTGCGCATGGTGTGCAGGAGCACGCACACGGCTGGGCCGTTTCATGACATCAAAGCTCAAAAAGGCGACCGTGGTCGGCAACTAGCATCCCTGCTCGCCCATCCAGCGACCCGCCTGCATCGGGCTTCGAGCAGGCGCCCTGACCACCCGTCCCCGTCCTCGCAAGCGCCTCTGACGGCAGCAGGACGCTGCCTGGCCCGCCCGCAATCTTGCTCCTCACTTGGGCGACGCCGCGTTGGCCTTTGAGATGTTGAACAGGTAGATGTCCGGCGTCGCCGCCGCCTTCTTCGCGCCGCCGGTAAAGATCTCGCCGCTCTTGAACGAGAACAGCCCGCCCGCCGCTAGCACGTCCCCAGACACACCGACGTGGTGGGGCTCGTTCCCGAAGAACTTGCTGGGGATGTCGGTGGTGGCAATGATCTGGCCGAACGTCTTGGAGGTGGTCGGCCCGGTGACATCAATCGTGGCAATGAAATCGGGGTTGGTGGGTGACGGCTTCTCGGGGCCTGGGGTAAGGACGGGTGGTTGCGACAGGGTGGAGGCGTGGTGAGGGTGAGGGGGGGGCCGGCAGGTGGAGGGGACGACGGCGAATGCAAGGGAAGCTGGTGGGCCGCATGCGTCCGATGCAAGATTCGCAAGCTAGCATGCATCTAAGCATTCAAATGCAAGGCAGGGGGCATAGAACCCCTAGTGCGTTCACAGGCATGATGGGGAGGTGGATCGCTCGAGATGTCACCCAATTCCAGCCAGCCCGCAGGGGTGGGCTTTTCGTCGACTCGCCTGCAAAGACATACAGGAAGGTGGACTGCCCCTCCGCCTTGGTCAGGTCGCGCGTCTCCACCTTCACGCAGCCCTTCTCGCCCCCAGCGGACGCAGCCGCGGTGCTGCCGGCCTGCGCTTTGGGCGCGGGCGACGACCTGGCCGCTACATAGCTGGAAAAGAACGCGTTCCGCAGGGCTGGGAAGATCTGGAACTGCTGGGTATCCGCCGCAGCGCCGGGGGCGACGACGACGAGGATCAGGCACGCGGCCGCAGCGCATGCGAGCAGGGCCGGCCTCCGGGTCGCCACCATTGTGCAAGCTGGGTCAATGTGGATGAAGGGCCTGGGGTAGGGGATGCCGGGTGTGTGGTGACGCCTCAAGCCGGCCCCAAGTCGTTTCAGGCTGCCTCTGTCTAGCAAGCCGGGTGTGCAGGGCGAGAAGCACCCGCGGCCACTGCCAACATCATTTCAAGAATTTAATCAAATGTATTGGGTAGGCCTGGACTGACGGTGGGAAAGCAAGCTGTGTACTGCAGCGGCTGACTGGCACACTTGGCATGATCGCGAGGCCTGCCTGGTCGCGCATGCGAAGAGGAAGTATCAACTCAATCACTCGCATATTTTCCGTACCTTCAAGCCAGTTATCGCGTGCCCTACAACGGGTGACCACGCACGACAGCACCGATCTGAGCAATATCGAAGACCAAGTTTGATATATGATTGCGTATGACGTACACCGTCACGTACCGTTGCGAATATTGTAGCCTGGAAAGCAACAACCTGCACCGGCCCGCGAAAAATTTCCTCAAACATGATGTGAACGTTTCAAAGTGACGCGAGGGAGGCTTGACCTCCACAATAAGGCCGGATAGGCAGACGCACATGACCTAGAAAGACCGCGGAGGTTACAAAATGTCCTCTGTACAGGTCCCCTGGCTGTACTGGTTTACCGCGGTGTCATGCATGAGGCACCGTCAACTACCGTTCTAGCCGCAGGTTTGCCAGCTACCCCTGCTGAGCTGAGTTATCGCAGGGCGCAACACATTCCAACCACAAAAGCCTCTTGGTGCCCACGGTTTGTGGTTACGCTTTGACGTAGACTGCTGGACGCTGGACGCCCCTGCTGTCTGCAGTACGTTTTGTGCCAGCTGCCCCTTGCGACCAATTTAGCCTTGTGCGGGATAAGATCGTCCTGTGATAAGGCGAATGTACTGCAATAGATGCAATTTTGTCAATTATGTTGCATTGCTTTGAAGGAGGCGTAGAGGTTAGAGCCTGGCGCCCCCTGCTCCCACGCTGCCGATCAGCACGAGCCTTGCGAGCCCGTGCTTTGCTGAGCACTTGTCACGCATATTCAGGGCATGCCCCTAGCCTTGGCCCATTGGTGTGCTTGAGCTAGTAATAAGACGCCTCCCATCGTGTTTCAGGCTCGAGCCATGCTAAACAGCCCTCTCAGTGTGCGCAGATGCGCGGTGTTGTGCAGAGAACTGGGCCTGAAGATTTTGACCGCGTGGCGTTGACCATGTCAGATTAACCCGTGCGATGGCAGGCTGCGCCTGTAGTACCTTTACTCGCAGCTAAAGACTTCGTACTGCCCTGCTAAGTGCATCGGCTGACACTGTCGCTGCATGGGATGTTCAAAGTGTCGGCAAGAAGTGTTGCCTGTGCATCTTCTCCAGCCCACCTCATGTATTTGTGGTTGTGCGTGCGGGTCTCGAGCTATGCACCTTTACGCCTAGAGCATCACAGGGACCCGGCTCAAACAAGCTGATCGCAGAGTGAGTGTGGTCCAGCGCTCCTTGGCGGGCCGCATGGCGGATTGTGAAAGTAAATGTGTATGCTATGGCATTGGCATCCAATGGGCTCGCGAGGAAGGCGCTTGAGCGTCCCGAGGGTGCCTGTTGCAAGGAGCTGAGGTCATGAAGGGCGCCCGGAACCACCTCCGGTCTCCTTTATGAAAGTGATTGAAGCAATAATAAGAAACTGGGCGCCGCACGCAGGATGGCCCTGTCCAGCAAGAGCACCCTGGCGCGAGGCGCACGGGCCTCCACTGGTGTGCGCCGCTCCCGCACCGTGCGCGTCGCGGCGACCTCGGCCTTCGAGGTATGCACGCGCGCAACACGGCAGCTGCCGGCAGCAGCGCTGCCTGCCGTTTTCCTGCGTCGCGTCCGCACCGCCTCCTGAGGAGCACGGTCAATGCGCATGGTCTTTGCACCAACGCCTTGCATGAACGCAATGAAAACGTGCATGTGCACGTGCATATGCATGTGCATGAGCACGTTGTCAACAAGCAAGCTACAGGAGCGGCGCTTAAAGCAGGCTTGGAGGAGCAGGCGGCGCGTTGAACACCCCCATGGCACCAACACCACCGAGCAAATACCGCTACGGCATCACCTTGCTGAATCTGCCATTGCCTTGTCAACACTGCATTAACAATCTCAGAAGTCCAACCCCTACCTGGAGGAGCTGCGTGCCAATGCCAAGTACATCGCCACGCGCGGCAAGGTGCGATACACACGCGACTCTGCGCGCGCGCGCACACACTCACCAGCACACGTGTGTGTGTATGTGTGTGTGTGTGTGTGTGTGTGCGTACCAGAACAGCGGTCAGGCGATGCCAGGGTCGGCAGCTGCGAAATGGTTTCTTTCTTTGGGATGGCAGGGCGTTGGACATGTGTCGTTGTAGCACAGGCAGGGTGATCTTGGTGCTGTGTGGGGCGTCGACTTTTGACTTTGCCCTCGCAGGAGCAACGACCAGCCGCCTCCAGTCACAGCCGTATGAACACGCACACACACTTGAACACACACGCGCGCGCACACACACACACACACATGCACTAACATGCACACCCTGCTAAACTTGCAGGGCATCCTGGCCAGCGATGAGTCCAACGCGACCACCGGGAAGCGCCTGAATTCCGTGGGCGTGGAGAACACTGAGGACAACCGCCGCGACTGGCGG